AGGAGAGAGAGAGAGAGAGAGAGAGAGAGAGAGAGAGAGAGAGAGAGAGAGAGAGAGAGAGGGGGGGGGGGGGGGGGGGGGGGGAAGGAAGAGCGCAAGCAAGGAAGCACACGGCGGCACACGCACACGGACACAAGCACGAGGCACACGGCACACGGCCACGAACACGAAGGAGTGCATACAGAAGAGGGAGGAGTCGGAGGAGTGAAGGAACAACTCAGTCACTGCAGTCTGCAGTGGACTCCGAGGATGAAGGGGGAGACTGCGGTCGCCGGTCGGAGGTGGACTTGGGGGGATTTCCGAGCGAGTGACGCCGAGGGCGAGCAGAGCACAGCTCACGGAGCTCAGCGCTCGTCCTCCACACTGCTCCGGGCACGCCAGCGTCTGCAAGCTGCAAGCTGCAAGCTGCAAGTGCCAAGAGGACTTCGCAGTTTCTCAGTTTCTCGGTTGTCAAATCTCAAATCTCACAATTATTGTGAAGGAAGGTGGCAATACACACCGTCAGCTCGTGCTCCTTTTGTCTTCTTTTCTTTTTTTTTTTTTTTCTTTTCTTCTTGTTGGGGGAGGAGTGGGAGAAGAGGGGATTCCATGGCTTGATTCCCTTCTTTTTTGCCATTTATAAATCTTTTTTTTTTTTTTTTTTTTTTTTTTTTAAGACTCTTCAGGATCCAATAGAGTGGGTGAGACGAGTATCCCCTCCTACTAGGTCTGCTTGGTCACTCCATCTATTGGTGGGGAGCTGCACCTGCTCGAAAAGGGGGTCCAGCCGCCCTTAAATAGTAAATGCATATGAAAAAGTTTGAAGATCAGTGTGCTTAGTGCTAACCATAGAAATGAAGAAAAAACACCTCTTCAGTCCATCAGTCCCCTTTTTACATCTTATGTCCATAAGGGGCCCCATTGCTTTAAGACAAGGCTATAGCCTGCCTACTCAGTATGAACAGAATCCGGATCTGATCGAGCAGAGCCTGTGCAGGTCCTCTGACGGACCTGACGCCCCTTTCCCAGAGTTGTACTGCTTCTGCAAGAGCATGAGCCTGACTGCATACGTCACGCAGACCTGATCAACTGCCTCCGCCTGTTTCTGCATGGCGCCCAGTGGTGAACGGGGCAAAGTTTAAGCGGCTGCGTGTTCAGAGGATGGTAGGACCATGCAGGACGCACTTGGGAAACAAAATAACAAAAGAGAGACTACGACCGATCACTTCTGTCAAGTTCTGTGCAATATGTGTTCGTACATGTAAGCCTTCCGATCTGGGCCCCTCATGCCGGGGGGTATAAGCGATGAATAAAGATAGTGTGGGTTAGAAAACTTAAATAAACCACCAGGTGGCAGCACTGGCAGGTACCGCTCCCATAGAAAGGCTGCGCTTTGGGCAGCTGACCCCTGGACGGTTTAGCCCACCTGCTGTAGCAGGTGTAGCACCTGCTGGTGGGTGCAACTCTCCTTGGAGGCTTGAGCACGGATGTGGCTGCTGCGGGGTTCCCCGCGATACTATAATGACAAAAAAAAAAAGGCCTGGAAGTCTGTCCTGTCCGACTATATAATGTCTTCGCGGTGGACTTGACTTTACAAAAGATGACGAAAATGTTAACTCTCAGCCTTTTATGCGATGGAGAGATAGATTCCTATTTGTAGCAGAAGCAATATATATATACCATCCCTTCAACCACCAGCACCTAGCGGTTGTTAAGGCCCGTGGCTCAGCCTACCGGTATCCCGAACCTTGCCGAGCCTTGAGCTACCGGTAGGTGTAGGTAGAAATTCGACATTCTTCTGCCCAAAAAAAAAATTTGAAAAACAAAGATGCTCCTTTTGCACTTTCCATCTTTGGGTCACACAGAGAGAGAGAGAGAGAGAGAGAGAGAGAGAGAGAGAGAGAGAGAGAGAGAGAGAGAGAGAGAGA